CGCCAGATCCAACAAAATCCACAGGTTACCCGAGAAGAGCTACAGTTACATCTGCATGCATTAGGGATTAAATTAACCAAGCGTGCAATAAGTAATGAACTACACAAAAACAGTCTGAAATCACGCATCCCAAGGAAAACTCCACTTCTCTTGAAACGACACAGAGATGCTAGGCTTAAATTCGTTAGATAGCATATGGATAAAGATTATTCGTTTTGGGAAAAAGTACTATGGACAGATGAAGCTAAAATAGAGTTGTTTAGTTATAATTATCGAAATCATGTGTGGAGGAAGAACGATGAAGCCTACTTACCAAAGAACACGTTGCCAACTGTAAAGTTTGGTGGTGACAGTATCATGATCTGGGGCTGTTTTTCTGCAAAAGGTGTTGGCAAAATATCAATAATAGATGGCAAGACGAATGACGAAATATATCAGAAAATCCTGCAAGACAATTTAATGCGTTCTGTTGAGACACTTCGGCTACCTCCTGATTGGATTTTCCAACTGGATAATGATCCTAAGCATACCGCTAAATCTAAAAGGAAATGGTTAGCTGAAAGTAACTTTGATGTGTTGCAATATCCAAGTCAGTCCTCAGACTTGAACCCAATCGAGAATTTATGGCGATATTTGAAAATTCAAATTGGGAAAAGAGCACCAACAAATATCAAGAATTTGAAGAAAATATGCCAAGAAGAATGGGACAAAATACCACTCAATGTATGCAAATCATTAGCTGAGACGTACAGGAATAGACTGGTAGCTGTTGAACTCAATAAAGGATATTCCACAAAGTATTAAATTAAGTTAATAAGCTTTTTTCTTTTGTACGAATACTTTTTTCATCGGTTAAAATGAAAAAAAAAATGCTCTAATTTCTGTTAGAATAAGAATTATTTAAGTTTATTAGTACTTTTTAATAAAATGTATCTTTACGCATAAAATGTATCAAAATTTGTTTCAGTTAAGGCTTTTACATTTTTAAAATACAATTGTTCATGTGTACGAATATTTATTTCCCCAACTGTATATATATATATATATATATATATATATATATATATATATATATTATATGAAGAAAAATATACTGAAAAAACAAACAAAAGTCCTAATATGCCATTATGTTGTTTTAATGTTTAATATCAACGTCGGACGTTTCGGTCTAATAGACCATCTTCAGGACATATTCATAAAATATAATTAACATAGACCATATATAATTCAACATGAAAAAGACGATGGACATAAAAGCAATACCAATCCAAACAGATAACTGAAATCTTTTATAAGATCAGCGTTCCGTTTAAATATGATCTCGTCGTCGTCCATTTTCTTCATACTGTCGGATCTCTATCCATATATTTGCTCTCATATATATATATATATATATATATATATATATATATATATATATATATATATAAAGAAATATAGTCTTAAGGTGTGCTATATTTATGGGATAAAGTGCTCAATATCAGAGATAGAGCGTGTGTAAATATAAAAGTGAACATAGAAGTCAACACTTAGAGGCCTTATATATATATATATATATATATATATATATATATATATATATATATATATATATATATATATATATATATTTTTAGGTTTTCTTAAATAACTTAGACATGTTCTGTCTATTTATCCTCGATAGAATCCTTTTATATTCGCGGATGAGATTTTTTGTGAGGTTATTAAAAATCCACATTGACAATACGATCGTTCCTGTCAAACCGTTTAATGAAGGTCGTCCTTAACGGATTTTCCTTCAGTACCTTTACCACGAACGCAGGTGTTCCCCAAGGATCTATCCTGGTTCCTATTCTGTTCCTTATCTTCATTAACGATCTTCCCGATGTCATCAGATCCCAAGTAGGCATCTATGCAGACAACACTACTATTTTCTCCTGCGTCAAAAGAAAATCTGGTATCACTGACGAAGTTAACCTGGTCATTAGTCTCGAAAAGGACCCTCAATCTTTTGTCGAGTGGGGCAGGAATTGGCTGGTAAACTCTAATGCTTCAAAAACAAAACTGCTCTCTATTACTCGCCACAGGGAACCATCCCTGCCACCCATTAGAATTCCTAATGTTCAACTCTACGAGAACACATCTTTGCGACTGTTTGGTCTCACACTGTCCACTGACCTTAGATGGAACAAATACATTGAATCCATAGCTTCATCTATCGCAAGGAAAGTTGGTTCTATGTGACGCGCTAGAAAGTTTTTCTCGACTGAGTCCATCCTTCAAATCTATAAATCAACCATTCGCCCTTGCATGGAATACTGATGCCATATATGGTCCGGTGCCTCCGCTGTTCGTCTCAAGATCCTCGAAAAAATCCAAAGACGGATATGCAATGTAATTGGCCCTGTTCTGCCATATCGCTTACAGTCGCTCTCTCACAGACGTACCGTCGCTTCCCTCTGTCTTTTCTACAAATATTTTCACGGTAACTGCTCCGACGAGCTACTTTCGCTGGTTCCCAAACTACATGAATTTAAGCGTGCTACTAGGCTGTCGAAAATGATCGATTCCCTGTCCTTCTCCCTACTCTTTCCTCTATTGCGTCTCTTTATTCTCTCTACAACTCTCCTTAACCCCTTGCGTAAGAGTGGCATCCCGCATTGCTTGCGGTGAAATGCATAAAAATAAAAGGAATTAAAATGGATTAAAAATCCTCAGTTCAAAGCATTTACATTTTTTTTAAAAAGTGCTCAATATAAAGTAGAGCAAAATATTATTATTTTATTTTTATTATAATACATTACAATAAAAAAAAAGTTAATCGCTACACAAAAGTTTTCATGTTTCAAGACTATGATTGTACTTCTTCAGGCGATGGTAGGTAACTTTTCTTTTATTATAAACTCTTATAATAAAAATATATCAATAATAATAATAATATATATAGTATAGAGCGAGCGTGTGTGTGAGTGCTTAATATAACACACACACACACACACACACACATATATATATATATATATATATATGTCTCTGTATATCACTGCTTTATCTCCCCTTGGTTGGCGAGTCATGAAGGCGGGGTATCGCACATGCCTTTACACATTGTATGAAGAAAATAAAAAAATCACAATGTGTGAAATGAAAGATTGTAACTTACTATTTAATATTGAGTGCATTTTCTTACGATAGCGAAAAGGGTACTGCATTTGCCCCAAAATATTATGGATAATTGTAGAGCCTGGTGAAGCGGAATTTCTCCGTGATTGGGCTATAAAATGCTCGAAGTGTCGCACTGCCTTAAAAACAATATAAGACAAGTCGTAGCTGATGGATGGCACACATCTCTATATCCGATCAGTATCGACTGTGTCAATGTGGATAGTGTGTATACTTTTGAAGGAACCTATATTCCTAATGACCTTGCATCAAAGAACATCACTGATGATGTGTGGCAAAGAATCAAACATATGTTTTTACAAAATGGAACCAGAGAAATGAAGTTGGAATTTTTGCAAGAGATAATGATGAAAGATGGCGTAAAAAATGTGAACTACTTAAGGCAATGCAAACGGAGAGAATCCGCGTGTCTCTTAGTTAACAAAATTGTGTAAATGGATGGCAGAGGACAGTAGAAAGGATAATGAGAAGACACAATCTGTGGTGTAGTATGATATTCCACATCTTGATTGGTTTGGTTTGTTTTACGTCCTAATGTTTTATTTAATGCCGAAAAGATTTTTATTGCTGGTAATATTTTTTTCAAAAAAATATTGTCGGTTAATATTTTTTTTAAATATGTATTGCTGGTAACATTTTTTCAAAAGAAATATTGTTGGTTAACATTTTTTTTAATATTTATTGCTGGTAATATTTTTTCAAAAGAAATATTGTCGGTTAATAGTTTTTTTTAAATATGTATTGCTGGTAATACTTTTTTCAAAAGAAGTATTGTTGGTTAATTTTTTTTAAATATTTATTGCTGGTAATATTTTTTTCAAAAGAAATATTGTTGGTTAACAGTTTTTTTTTAATATTTATTGCTGGTAATATTTTTTCAAAAGAAGTATTGTTGGTTAATATTTTTTTAAATATGTATTGCTGGTAATATTTTTTTCAAAAGAAATATTGTTGGTTAACAGTTTTTTTTTAATATTTATAGCTGGTAATACTTTTTCAAAAGAAGTATTGTTGGTTAATATTTTTTTAAATATTTATTGCTGGTAATATTTTTTCAAAAGAAATAATGTTGGTTAATATTTTTTTTTAAATATGTATTGCTGGTAACATTTTTTTAAAAGAAGTATTGCTGGTAATATTTTTTCAAGAGAAATATTGTCGGTTAATATTTTTTTTGTAAATATGTATTGCTGATAATATTTTTTCAAAAACATTGTTGGTTAATATTTTTTTCTGAATGTGTATTTTTCAAAAAAATATTGTTGGTTAATATTTTTTTCCAAATATGTATTGCTGGTAATATTTTTCTGATAAAATGCTTTGCTAATAATAATGTATTGCTGGTAATAACTTTTCTTTAAAATTCAATGCTGGTAATAATGGTTTTACCAAAAATCTATTCCTGCTATTAAAACCTATTTCTGCACATTCACAGCGTCTTGAACCCAGTTTGGCGGCTAACTAATTGCCCATAGCTGGAACCCTAACTGGTGCTACCACCCCTGGTCAGAATGGACCTGGGAATACCAGTAATTAAGCGGTGATTCTACGCTTCTAGAAAACCTCCTCATCAGAAGCGTTGCTGCCGGATGTAGTTTATCGTCTTACCCAGGACACCAACATCTTGAAATAATACTGCTCATAAAAGAAATAGTAAAAAGTATGAGCAAAAGGAGTAGAAGAAGGGAAACAACACGTTCTGATTAACTCTTAGAGGTTAAATGTGTTTAATTTTCTTTTATTTCTATCATAAAAGATGACAGTAAATATTTACCATTTAAGACTAACCTATATGCAGATAATCGTATTTGCTCTATGAATATATTTTGTGCAGATATAGGATGCATCGGAATTTTCAAACAGAATATCCTCCATCTAGGTCACATTTTTTGACAGTGGCCATTTATAATTAAGTATAACTCAAGACTTCCATGTTAAAATAAACCAGTATTTAATTACAACCGCAAATAAATACTTAACAAGAACAAAGAAGTAAAAGTCAACCAAAGATAATTAATCATTTCAGTAAATACCTTGTTAGTAGCGCGGCTCGGCTTAACGTCCGGTAAATTCTAAATCAAAATCAATAATTCACACGAATTCGAATGAATAGTTCCACTCAATATTCACACAATAATCATTCAACAATCACTTCGGTCACTAGCTTATAAACAAATTAGCAAACCATTATGACCAAAATATTAGTTAGACTATAAAAATCAAACCAAAACTCGGAGGAAATGATAGCTATAGCTGTTATATAACGATAAAAAAATACATTGCAAGATGTACGTTACTACGACAAAAATGCATATTTGTTTTGACGTCTAAAAATGTCTCATCAGGTGGTTAACTATGGTGGTAACACACACAAATACACACAAACACACACACACACACACACACATATATATATATATATATATATATATATATATACATACATTGTTTGCGATGTATTCTCTCCATTTAAATCATTAACTTCTATATCTGTTTTTTGTATGAATGATTCATGTAATTGTAAATTGAACTGCACCTTATATATATATATATATATATATATATATATATATATATATATATATATATATATATTAAACATATACTTTTAAATATAACAGAAAATGCACATCTATTATGTCTGATCATTAGCCGTTTTAATATTCATATGTGTTATGTCCAACATTACGATATTGTTTATAAGTTGGTCCTTGATCTACGCTTTCGGCTCACATTAGCCATCTTCAGGAGTGGTTATAGGGACATTTTAACAAGGATATTCTCCATGGAAAATATTATTTTGTTATGTTGACATAGAAGTTTGCTATGTGACGATTTATTGTCTGTTATAATTAACAATATATGTTTAAATAATGATCTGCTGCCCCAATACACTAAATATATATAGATATATACACGCAATTTATACGGGTATAGAATCTTATAAAATTACACAACACACACACACACACACACACACACACACACACACACACATATATATATATATATATATATATATATATATATGAAATTAAAACAATATCTTTCTGTTTAAATTCAATTTTCTGACAGATGTTCGATAGTAACGAAACTAGTAATTTTATTTGTAATATTTGATGTTTCCTCATATATAAAGGTTCAACACTAATTTAAAGAACAGTAGGTTTTACTATCGATTGAAAATTGGAAAAATTGTAGAACACTTCTGTTAAAAATAATCCATGTAAATGTATGGCAATGAAATTTTATACGACATATGCATACTATCTGGAATGCATCTTTTGATTCGGACAATCTAGGAATGACGTACTGACTTAAAGTGAAAAGGGCACATTGAGCAAGAGAACTTCTGTCCTTTCTTAAAATATCGTTTAATATTGTGTAAAAATGTACCATAATTATTATATCACTATTTTCTATTCGAATAACATGCACAATCTATTTTAGTGGTTGCTGTTATTTTTTGAGATTTTGTAGGCTGAACCTATGAGTTTCGAATTGGGATTGTGTTCTTTAAGACTTAAACGCTTAATTCGGTCAAAGCCACTTTTAAGCAGTGATTTTATAATGCCGTTATATGCAGTTTAAAGGTTAGACATTTCTAGACCTGATGACAGCTGTACATGGCATCCATATCAAAGTCCTGATCTGATGATGCCACTTAAGAACATGATATATTCTTAGGTGAATATTTAGGTATTCATAACACATGCTGCATTAAACAAACCAGACTATCTATCTATCTATCTATCTATCTATCTATCTATCTATCTATCTATCTATCTATCTATTTCAGTGTTATCATATCTATCTATCTATTTCAGTGTTATCATATCTATCTATCTATCTAACTATACACAAAACACACACGCACAGACACACACACACACACACACATATATATATATATATATATATATATATATAAGTTTGTCATATATATCTCAGGCTTTTATATCTATCTGTCTATCTCAGTCCTTTCATATCTATCTATTTCAGTCTTATTTATCCATCTATCTATCTATCTATCTATCTATCTATCTATCTATCTATCTATCTATCTATTTCAGTCTTATAATATCTATCTATCTATCTATCTATCTATCTATCTATCTATCTATATATATATATATATATATATATATATATATATATATATATATATATATATATATATATATATATATATAAATATATATATATATATATATATATATATATATATATATATATATATATATATGTCAGTTTTTGGTATCTATCTCAGTCTTTCATCTACATCTATTTAAGTATTTCATGTCTATCTATCTCAGTTTTTTCATATCTGTATCAGTCTTTTCATATCTATCACACTATTTCATTCTTATCACAACTGTCTAACTATCTGTCTGTCTATCTATCTATCTATCACACTCTTTCTCTCTTTCTCTCTCTCTCTCTATCTATCTATCTATCTCTCTCTTTTCATATCTATCTATCTATCTATCTATCTATCTATCTATCTATCTATCTATCTATCTATCTATCACAGTCTGTACACTTCTATCTATGTATTTATTTTATTACTGATCTAGTCGGAAAATTTTTTCGATTTTGAACTTCGAAACCTACAAATGTTTTTTATTTCTTATTTGAACTCTTGATGTAACACGATATTACAAACCTTGTTCGAAGCGATTTAACTTTTCACTCTCCAAAGATATAAAAATGACAAAAACAAAGACCAGAAAATATCAAAATCTAGGCAATAAGTAAATATTGTCAAAAAATGAGGAATATACATTAGGATATATATATATATATATATATATATATATATATATATATATATATATATATATATAAAGGAACAGTAAGATATATAATCCGGCGTTCTTATTGATATTTTTTATTTTTACAAAAAAAAAAAAATGCTCAATGTAAATTTACAGAGCATAAATATTTTAAATTAACTGGTTTAAAATGTTTTTTTCGCTACACAGTAATAAGCGTGTTTCAAAAATGGAAGCTAAAACCTTCAAATTTAATTTTACAATTAAATTAAAAATATTGTAGCGAAAAACATATTTTAATCCAGTTAATTTATAATATATATATATATATATATATATATATATATATATATATATATATATATATATGTGTGTAAGATAAGTTATGAAAAACTTGGTAAACCGAATTGGTAAATCCAAGGAGGATGAAATCCTGAGAGCTCAATGTGAAGAACAGAGCTAGTATTTAATGAAAAACAGACCACTTTAAGGTACCATTACAATAATCACATTTTTCCTCTCATTTCATTGTTGGAAGTGTTACCTGATGATCCGAAATCCTTTAAAAACGATTTTGGTGAAATAAATTATATATATATATATACACATATATGTGTAATATATTATATATATTATTATTTATATATTATATGCGCGGTATTTATTAGAAAGCGTTCAATATCAGAGATAGAGCTAACATAGTCAAGCTACCATCACAATAATTACATTTATTGTTATTATCATTCCCCCTCCATTACTAATGACTTCTACCACTTTGAAATAACTATTGGTTACTAATATTATCATTACCATCAATCCCCCAACACCATTACTACCACATCACATCTTCTATTACGATATCATTCCGGTATTATTATTAACGGAGATTACTCCTCCCTCCCCCGCTAGCAAATTTAATACCACTAAATAAAATAACCAATAAGGATTACGAACTGCAATTTCCACCAGTTACATATACGCAATCATCAAAAAGAGTAAATAACAAGCTTTAAAATTATAACAAATCAGTCTTAAAAAATTAAAAATAATAGCAATTTTTAACTATCATAATTATACACAAACCCCACGATACGTGCATGCGAGGATTTAATTATTCAACGAAGGAATAGAGAAATACTCAAATTATTGACATGGCTAAATTCAAGTGAGAAATGGATACACACCCTATCTTTGAAATTCAGCAATCAAATGCGTACGTATGTAGACAACAGCACACATATAGATACATATGTCAAGTCCCATACTGTATACATGTGTTTATGTTTGTGTGAGCCCCGGTGTGTGAGCCTGTGTGTATGTGTGCCTGCGTACCTCAATGGGTATACGGACATACATGTATGTTTGCATTAGCATGAGTGACATCCCGACAACGATTCACCCCACTTCCATAATAACACCAATACACGCACTCTACATAAATCCAATTTTTAAAAAAAATTAAAATTAATCAGTTTGTCTGACGATCGATTGCTCAATATCAGAAATAGAGCGTGTATAAAAGAACAATATGATAAACAATCAAGAAAAGTCTATTCATCTCATGTAGGTAATAGACTAATTCGGCAGACGATAAAAGTAATCGTCTGTTTTCAATATATATATATATATATATATATATATATATATATATATATATATATATATATATATGTCTGTGTGTGTCTGTGTGTGTCTGTGTGTGTGTGATACTATCATTGATAGGGAGATATGGAGAAATAATATCAATGAGGAATTTTGATAACTGCTAAATAGTTGTTGGCATCTGTGAAATGATCGGTTGTAGTGGGTACCCTGATTCATTTATTTATCAAGAAATATATATAAATGTATACATAGATACATACATATATATATATATATATATATATATATATTATTAAATATACGTATTATACCTCACCCATAGCACGATAGAAGTTTCAGGCACAACGCAATCTTCGAGAACTGTTTTATTAACACCAACACTATATGTGCAATACGTTGTTAATTATATATATATATATATATATATATATATATATATATATATATATATATATATATATATCTGTGTGTGTGTGTGTGTTTATGTATGTATGTATGTATATATATATATATATATATATATATATGTATAGAGATAGAGAGACAGAGAGAGAGACAGAGACAGAAGGAGGAAGAAAAAAATGGATAAATAAATAAAAAATTTGGGTGAAAGTGAAAGAAAGAATATAATTATTTAAATTGTTAATTGGGCAGAGGTAACTAAAAATAAAATCAAGGAAAACGGAAAAGTGTAAAACTCAAATTAGCAATAAACAAATAGACTGGGTGAGCCAGACAAGAGAAAAAAACGTCGGAACAAAATGATTAAAAAAATGATTTAGTTTTGAAAGGGGAGACAGAATCTCGTGCCAATAACTGGTTGAATAGCCCGAACCTCACCTAAAAAGAAAAAAAAAAAGAAGCATAAAGAATTAATTCTAGTCCTTTATTGTTGATATTCCTGCCGGCGGCCATCATCGATTTCTCGCACTCTCTTCAACCGGATGTTCGATTCTCGCCTCCTTTTGTTGAAGAACGACTCGAACCAGCTGCACGGTTTCACAAATTCTCGGGGCGAAGTCGCAGTACAAAAGGAAAAGCAGTGTGAACTTCCGCTACTGCACAACCGCCACCTTTGCAAACGAATCTCGACGGGGGACCGGATGGGTGTAGTCATATCAATTTTCTTTTCTTGTTTGCATTTCTCTCTTCTCGTCCTACCCGCCATTGGTTCATTTAACTCTATTTTCCTTTTCTTATTTGTCTTTCTCTTGTTCAACATGTTTCCCTCTCTCTCCCTCGCATACTCTTTCTTGGGAATTCTCGCCTGATCAGAAATAGTTGTTTGATTTTCAGTGCTACTTAAGAAGGTGTAATTCCTCGAGAAATATTTCATATCAGTAAAAGAAACACGAGCAAAAGGCCATCATCTATTATTTATGATACTTTTACATATCGTTATTTATAGTTAGTTACAAGGGCACGATACAGCCAAAAAAAAAAACAATATATATATATATATATATATATATATATATATATATATATATATATGTTTGTAGACCTGTTTAACAGTTGTAATATTGGAGGAAGTGAGACTTTCCTCAGTATCAGTTGCAGTGGACTGGTCATGTCAGTGGAGAATGTCTTATGACAAGATGCCCAAGATCCTAATGTAAAACTAGTTAGATGAGAGTTACAGGAATGGAGGGCGCCCATGTCTTTGATACAAAGACAAGCTGAAGAGCACATTGTCAGCTGTCAATATACCGCAAGCGCTTAGCATAGGATCGGGTAGAGTGGAGATCAACGGGTTTTAGTGGACTCAGCGGTTTTCAATCTGCTAGTCTGAATCGTCTTCAAGAAAAAGAGAGCTCTATCTAAAAAGTCAGCCAATCTAAATGCGACCTCATCCGACAATCTCTTACCAAAATTACGCAAAAATATCTTAAAATACTAAAGAGTAAAAACTTTCAATAAAATAACCACAGCATTCAACCACAGCCTCCAAACGACATCGGAAAATCTTGCAACCCTTCTGGACAGTCTCTTAATTGAAGTAGGCGGATCCTGTCATAATCCTTGCCTTCAGTTCATTTTTGGTGTTACAAGGAGTTTTGTTGGTCTCTCGCCCAAATGTGCTCAATACATAATTATCAAGGGGTTGCAGCCGGAGGAGTTAGGTGGCTAGATGTAAGGGGTGATGTGGTCGCTGAAAATGTCTGACAGTCATGACTGTTAGCAGTACTGATGCTTGTGTGGTCTGGCGCAAAGTCGTGTTGCCAGATATAGGGTTTTACAGCTGCTGCCCTCTTGACCAGGGCAACCCTACGACACTTGATCCTGGCCTCCGTCTTGAGACTGAGGCCCTATGGGAAGAGTAACGGAAGCATACCGAAGCCATCACTAGCTATCACTCCAGACACTATTGTGTTGGCTAAATTAATCTTTCCAAATCCTCTGAACTCGCCTCAGATTGATAGCTTATCACTGAAATTTTCGTATTGGATCTTTCAGCGCGAATGCCAAGAAGAACAGTATGCCATTTCTAAATTTCTGTCGGAGGGAATTGCGGGTTGGTTATCTTTTTGTCATAGACGATACGCAACTGTCCATATCATATTGTGCACTCGACTAAATAATAAACAAACAACACGCATGCGCAAGAATAAAAAATATAAAATGGCGACAATTTACCTATCGATATAATTTAGAGGGAAATTTATAAATTATACCCTGTATTATTATTATTATTATAATTATAAACGTTATTTCCATTTGATACACGTGTTTCAGTTGGTATCTCTGGTTTTCTTTCGTTTATTAATCTTACTTATTATAAAACGCAGATTGTGTGTGTGTGTGTCTGTACGTTTATATATTGGATCGGATTTCCTACATTTTTCAGCCGATTTCAACAAAACTTCACAGGACTACGTAAAATTACTTTGCGGTTGTTCTGACAGCGCCAAAAATCGGAAAAACATAATTGTTTTTGCACGAAATCAATTTGAATAGACGATTAAGAGGCATCACGAGAATGAAAGAGGGACAACTCATATCGAGTTATACGTATTATAAACCCCACGTTGTTTGTGTTTGTTTATATATGGGATCGGGTTTCCAACATTTTTCTAAATTAAACTAATTAAGACATGCGTGTCCGTCAACCTTAAACAATAATTTTTGTCAATTTTATTTTTCAGTCTTTATGATGGTCGATACTTGATCTATCTCTTACTGTTACATCCCCGGGC